CACGCTTTCGACTAAGCCTTTACTTCCGTATTTGTTAGTTTGTTTGAAGTTAAGCACAAAGCTACACAATGGGCTATATGTGCTCTGCCCACCACAGGTATCGAAACCCGGTTTCTAGCGTTGTAAGTCCGCAGACGTACCGCTGTGCCACCGGGGGGCACTTCGGTATGAAACGCATCGTAAGCAAACATAAATCGTATATCCTACCGACTGCAACATGTAACATTTTCTTTGTTGACAGAAAAATATAAATGTATCAATGCGCGGACAGAATTTATCAGAACATTCTATTGTTTCTTTTAAACTGGCTAAAGCAAAATGCTGCTTGATTTGTGGTTGCAGAACACAATAACCTAAAAACGTAGGAAACACTTTACATATAAAGAACTCGCACTGCACGAATATCGATAGACGATTAAAAATTTAAAATATACACCTATAAGCAGAAGTACATAGGAAATAGTAAAAGTACCATAGCAAAGTCGAGCTTAAAAAATAGCGCCACAAACAGAGGCGTTCCATGCAAAGTTACCCTGCTACGCGCGGTATTAAACGTCACTTTCGTTTGGCGTCAGCTTCATGCATTTTGCTACCGATCTCCTCGCTCAGTTGAGTCCTAACGCAAATCTTTCGTCCCAATGCTTATCCATTTACACTCGACATTTGGGGGTTCACCCGAGTTCTTCTTCTGAATCTCGTCAAAATTGGTTCAACCAGTTCCTCATATCAACTTATCACGTCAGACAAACGGACAATTCTGGTTTAAATATACTCACATGAGCATAAAAAGAGTGCTACTGTTGTTACCAAACAGGTTATATGGAAAGATTAACAAGAAAACATAAATAACAAACTGTTTCCTTATTATCACAGATCAAACTGTTTGATTTGTCCTGTTTCCTTTTCTCCCGATTACTTACATGCCCTTCCTGGTTCTACAACCTTGAATACACAATACATGACATGACCTATTCCGAAGCTACCAATGTATTTTTCTCTCCCAAAATGTCAAGTGTTTTACCATCTTTAACTGCCACTACACGTTAAAAAATTTAACAAATGAATTAGAACTTTTCTCTGTCTCCGTGAATATGTGAAGTATAAGTGAAGTACATTTAGATTTTTGACAGGAGAGAAAACATGAGAGAATCCTCAATAACCGCAGCACTTAAAATTCTTTTAGGCAGGATTAGAGTAAATTAATCTATGATACTTATTTTCTTTCTATTAACCATACTTTTGTACGTCAAATACACCAAGCGTGGAGCGCGCGTGTACCCGATTCAATTTTATTACTCATCAGGATCTCTACGAACCTACCCTCAAATGGAAATTCTTTGAGGCAGGATTAGAGTAAATTAATCTATGATACCTTGGGCGTGGTCAAACACATCAATCGAAAGGGTTTGACCTCCTGAGTCCAGAACAGTAATTAGATCTCAAATCGGTCAAGAGATGACGGAGCTGTGAAAAGCTGTAAAGTTTGTACTTTAAAAAACTCAGAGCCGCTCTATGAGCCACTATGCGGCGGCTAAAACGAGGGGAAGAGGGGTGGGGGGGATTTCCTTGCTAAGCTATTTCATAACACCATCAAAATATATTTTAATGCTCTTTGAATTGGTTCAAATACTATGACTATCCATGTATAATGTGAACACTGAGGTAAAGCCAAACATGACGGTTAAATAAGTACATGGACTGAATTGGAGACTGCGAGCCCACAGTTGGTGGGTTGGGGTGTCCAATTAACAAACAAACATCATAAAATCAGACTTGTTAAATTCTAAGCTTCACCTAATGATCAAGATATTACATTACTTAACTACGCTCAGACATACATCCAATCTGTATAACACGTCATTAATTCTTCAATAAACAGGCCAAGGTCAGTATAAATTAATCGTCCGAGAAAAGGCACGCACAGCCTCGTGACCAGCACATTCAATACTACTTAGATTACTCTCTCGTGTTATAAAAATACCAACAACCAAACAATACAAGTGTAATAAGACAGCAAAATATAATTCGTGACACTAGGCATAATTTTAAGCGTATAATTTTTTTTAACTTTCCGAATGTCTACAATTATAAGTGCGTGGCTCTGCATCTGATTTATGCTCCTCGTGTTCGAAAAAAAAGAGCATATTTTATTAATTTGTTTTCCTTGAAAACAAGCTTAGAATCGATTTGTCCAGCTAATTCTTCGAAACTCATTGAAATGCTTGATATGTGGTAACAAGATCGTGCTCGATAACTTAAGCCTAACAGCAACTCACTGAAATGCTTGATATGTGGTAACAAGATCGTGCTCGATAACTTAAGCCTAACAGCAACTCACTGAAATGCTTGATATGTGGTAACAAGATCGTGCTCGATAACTTAAGCCTAACAGCAACTCACTGAAATGCTTGATATGTGGTAACAAGATCGTGCTCGATAACTTAAGCCTAACAGCAACTCACTGAAATGCTTGATAAGTGGTAGCAAAATCGTTCTGGATAATTTAAGCCTAACAGCTTGAGATTTTAACCGATTCAAAGTTGAAACTCACTGAAATGCTTCATAAGTGGTAACAAAATCGTGTTGGATAATTTAAGCCTAACAGCAACTCACTGAAATGCTTGATAAGTGGTAACAATATCGTTCTGGATAATTTAAGCCTAACAGCTTGAGATTTTAACCGATTCAAAGTTGAAACTCACTGAAATGCTTCATAAGTGATAACAAAATCGTGCTGGATAATTTAAGCCTAACAGCTTGAGATTTTAACCGATTCAAAGCTGATTCTATTTTTCCCCTTACCTACATAGTTTATGATCAAAACTGAATAAATCATAATTTAGATATATTTTATTGTTGGTTAAGAGAAGAACATTTCTTTATTAACTTTATACTGGTGAAAAACAAAACCAAACGGAGTTTTATGTATTTTTTTGATAATACACTACAATCAATCAAATAGATCCCCTTCTGCTAATGTTAAAACCAGACAAGCTGGAGGAAACAAGTGCAGACATGGATTAGTTTGGGTTTATGATATAAATTAACTCCAATCTGGTAAAATTATGATATTAAAATTCCACGTTTTTTTTTTTTTGTCTTATTATTTTGGTAGAAAATAAAAACTGATCCTGTCTTGCAAGCTGTCGATAAGACCTTCATTAAAATATCTGTTTTCTTTTAGCCTTCCTTGCAGTTTTGGTGAAATTTGGTTCTCCCATGCTAAAATTATCAATTTACTGTTTTGTTTTTCATATTTCAATTAATTGCATACGATACGTACTTACGAGAGTAAATTGTTTGGAAAATGGAGAAACTTTCTATTGGAAAGTCGTAGTATCAGAAATATGCGTGTTTAAATACCACCTTAAACGTGTTCCACAATTTGGTTACTTTTTTAAAGAATGTGATAGCATTAAAATTACCTTTTGATATGGTATGAGATTTTCTTTTCGATAAATTCATCCCCAATACGTCCGATATCATGCTATGCTAAAATACGAACTGGTAAATTAACGGATATTCTAAAACAAAACGCAAAAAAACATATATTAACTGAGTAATTACTGCGTTTATCCTTACATTTATAAACGGAACATTCTAATTATATTTGACGATAAGCTAAACGTGGAACTTTTTTTATACATACACGTCAGGACTCGTACCTTCAAATCTTCACACGTCTGCAACACGCGCGCGGAAATAACTTGCGCTGGAATTGAACCTTGTTTTAAAGTAGAGAACATACAGCTTTAATACATTTTTAACACCTGCCACACGAGCCAGCCAAGCATCTTTTAATACTGAGCCTAAGATGGTCAACTGGGGATTCATTCAGAAAACCGGTAAATTAGGGTTATTTCGTTGAATGAAGCTCTGCGGTAGATATATATATGTGTGTGAAAATATGACTTGATGAATCTATACGGATTATACTATGGTCGTACCATACTGGGCATTATACCATCCTTATTATATTTACTCTTCATTGTAGAAATGATATTTTTTATTTGAGAATCGCTAGGGAAATCATCTTGTAATGCATCGTGCATCTGCTTCAACCTCAATATTACATCTTTAGGCTTAACTGTGTCGTTAGTTTCACAAAAT